CACATCATCGAATTCATCTTTTTCGTATGAGATAATTGTAATGAAGTGCTAAATAAGACATACTCCTCCGGTCCTAATTATAAGACCCAATTGACTTATTTGAGGAGATTAAGGAAGTAAGTTAAGTTGGTTATTTATAATAAATAAGTGTTGTTATTTCTAAAATATCCTTGCTAATTAAGTATATTGGCTAAAACTATCATTATTAGAAGGATTATCTTGGAAAAAAATGCATAAATATAAGAGAGAAAATGGATTGGGTCTTATAATTAGGACCAAATAAAAAGTCAAATTGGGTCTTATAATAAGGACCGGAGGAGTATACCATATCCAATTCTTAACATAAGAGCTAGTTGATTAGTCTAAGTAAATTAAAAAAATTAGTTAAGTTAGTTATTTGTAATAAATAAATATTATTTTTTCTAAAATATTCTTTGAGATCAAATGTATTGGCTATAACTATCATTATTATAATAACTGCCTTGAAAAAAAGATAAATATGAAAGACAAAATAGACTGTGGTCTTATATTTAAGGCTAAAATAAAAATAAAACAAACTCTTATATTAAGGACATGAGATAGTACTACCTCTAGTCCTAAGTATAAGAGTTAGTTGACTAATTTGGAAAGACTAAGGAAATAAGTTAAGTTGGTTATTTGTAATAAATAGGCGTTGTCTTTCCTAAAATATCCTTACTAATCCATTGTGTTGACTAGAACTATCATTATTATAATGACCGCCTTGAAAAAAAAAGATAAATATGAGAGACAAAGTAAATTGGGTTTTATATCTAAAGTTAAAATAAAATTCAAACAAACTCTTATATTAAGGACATAAGATGGTAATTACTAAAAATCTCATTAATTTATAATTCTCCCTTTCCATTTTGTGTTTTATCCTAAGTTGTGGCGTGAGTTGTGACATGCGTCTTTGTCACTTAAACAAGTGCTCCAGCACCAACAAGTAATCAAAGGTAACAATAAAATCAAACACGCATAATATAAAATGTGAACAAATATTCTTTCAGTTCGAATCTACATTAATCATTCAAATTATGATTTCAGTATTTAGTAATTACATGAGCCTTTGTTCGTGGGATTTCAAGATCCATTCACATCCACAATAATATTTTAATAAAAAATTATAATTATAATGAATGAACTGTATTTTATTCTATAGTTTTTTTTTAAAAAAAAGCAATGCAATATAAGATTTCAACAAAATAATTAGATAAGATGCTTTATCATTTGAGAGGGCCATATCTCTTTAAATTTGTCAAAGCACTCACGAAATTAAAGTGGCGTTTGGCACCTAACATGTACTCGACCTGCCTTTTGTAACCTTGAAATTAATGGTGAGCATTCTCTTTTACTCTATTTAAACCCTTTTTAATGAGTAAATATTGAATAATCAGACATTAATTTTTTTCATCAAAATAATCAGACATTATTTCAAATGAAACTAATCATAACAACTGGTTTGATGTAATATGGTATTTCTTGTTATGTCAACTAAGTCCTGCACAACATGCACAATTATTCTTAAAATAACGATCGTGAATGTTTTTTTTTTCATAAAATAGTTTAAATATTATCAACATTTCAACTATTCTATTCTTTTACTATTGATTATTATTTATTTTTGTAATTAAGAATTTTTATTTGCTGTTATTCCTAAGTCTTATATCAACATTCATCGTCAATAAATCAAATTTTCTTTTTATTTTTATACTGCCCATTATTTCTTTTCTTTTTTGATCCAATTTCTTAATTACAAGAACATTGAGGATATTGGATATAGATGATGAATGATGAATTGAATATGTTTGATTGTTAATGAATATATATTATGGTTTTAATGGGCTAATTGCACACCATAACTTGTACGCAAATGTATCTTATAATCCAACATGAATTTAAAACTATATTAAGAATTTACCCTTTTAATAAAACTCCTAATTTATAGTTTAATTCCGTTTGTTATCATATATATTAATCTTTGGATTGACATCCCTTACTAGAGAAATTAGTGCGTGTGAAAGATTGAACCTTTTGTCCCTTCATGATTTGGAAAGACGTTAATAATAGATTAGATTGTAATTCTTCATTAAAAATCTCCCATCACCAAATACACATTAATTAGTTAGATGATTTCTTATTTTCTTTTGTTTAGTGATAAATTCACATACAAAAGTGTGGCAGAGTGCTAGAGAGCCAAATTGGACCATCGAATTGGTAAGAGGAGAGATTAAATGATTATTAATTAATGTGAAATGAAATACGAAAGTCACCAATTTAATTAGATAATCTTGTGGGAGCCGTCAGTGTCAAAACTAAAAGTCAGACTCATATCTTATTACTAAAATGTTAATTCCATATGCCCACGCCATTAACTAGATCAAATCAACGCCTTCTGCTCCATAATTTCTGTATTCATTTGTTAATATTTAATAATTGATCGTGCCATTTCGCTCATGACATATTCAGTCGCCACTGGAATCGTTTTACAGATTGATCAATTGAATGATCGAACAACAAAATCAATTGTTATATAAAAAAATTTGAAATAAATTAAGTTCACATGACTTGTAACATAAGTAGAAATTTCTTCCCACGGTGTGATGTGCGGATTAACAAATCTGATTAGATTTAAAATTTTAATAAATTTTATTATTTAAGGTGGCTCAAGATTCACTTTTTATGGGAGTATATTTTTTTATTTATTCAAATAAGATTTAAATTAGAGACGCAGAATATAGGAAAAATAGATGAAAATTTGAAATCAATTATTTATTTCTCCATTTAATTATGATACTCCCTATTTAATTCAATATATTCAAATCCCAATTAAGATATTATTCAAATTCAAAATTAACTATTAATTTCTTTATTTGAGCTTTCAATTAAAATCTCATTTAACTCAATATATTTAAATTCCAATCAAGATGTTATTCAAATCTTATTAATTGAATATATTTAGATCCCATACTATCATACACAACCTATTTTTAAAAGAATAGGTATTACAAATTTTTAAGAATATAGTTAATAGTTGATAGTTGATGAATGATGATTGATAGTTGATACCTCTTTTTATCAGTACAAAAAGAAGAAAGATTAGATGATGTCTACATGTCAGTTTAGGCTTCTCAATTTTTACAAGTTTTCAGTAATTTAGGGTTTGCTTAGTTTCTTGTTTTAAAAACAATTTTTTTGTTTTTAAGAACAAAAAAAAACTTGTTTGGCAATTTATTTTTATTTTCATATCTACTTTTTTTTGGGGAAAAAATGCGTCAATATTTTTTTTTTTGGGGGAAATAATGCGTTCATGTTGATGACGGTTCTAGTATTGGGGTTCCTACACGCAAAAGCCTTTAACAGAGCAAGGATAATGGGCCTGAGGCCTATTGGGCTTATTTAACATTGTGAGATAAAATTAGACGAACTTTGAAATGAACCGCACAATATGTTTTTCGGCCACCAACCGCACAATATTTATCACCGGTTCATATTAAAATTAAAATATCCTTAAGACATGATTTAGTCACCCAGAGCAACCTAAAATTTGGCATCTCTCCTGCTTCTTACCATTAATCAAGGCCGTATGTTGGTAACAAAATATAAAACAACCGTAAATCTCGTATAAAACAAAATAAAACCATCATCCGTATAATCCAACGAACCAAAATTAAATAGGAAGATATTATAGACTCGTGACATATTGATAAAGAGACAAGACAAAATGAAAAGATAGAAAGTGAATCCCACACATGTATCTTCACGGTATTGCGTATCATGTTCTTGATGATCACCTTCAAAATTTGGATTGATCAAATCAATTTGGAGATCCAGCACAAATCCCTCAAATCCTCAATTGAACAGTAATTGACAAAATTATCAACTGGGGAGTAAAGTTGTCAAACTCGCGAGTTTAAATAAACTCGTGATAATGATGTAAACTCAGATTATAAACTCGAATTGTGAACTCGTAAAAGTTTACTTTTATTAATAAATTGATATTAAAAGTATATAATCAAATAATTAATATATAAAAAAATGAGAACAATTTCATTTAAATATATTTTAAATTTAAATAATTGAAATTATATCTATCAATGTTCATAATTTATTATATTCAACAACAAAAATTTTTATAAAAATCATATATAAAGTCACTAAACATAATCAAATTCAAAAATTTAACACGAGTTTAAGAGCGAGTTGACACGATTTTGTAAGCCAAAAAGGTAAAAACGGTAAACTCGATAAATAAACTTGTAAGTTTAATTGAGTTTACAGTTATCACGAGTTTAAAAATGAGTCGACACGATTTTGTTAGCTGAAAACGTAAAAACGTTAAATTCGGAGAGTCAACTCACGAGTTTGACAACAGTGCTGGGGAGGATTCAATTACAAACCCTACATAACATATATATATATATATGTCTATTTGTTTGAGAAATGACCTTATATAATATGCAGTATATATACCATGTATGTATATATGTGTCTCTTTTCCCAAACTTAATTCTAAATCTAAGAAAAAGATTGCCAAGATTCATAATTTCAACGACGGTGAGAAATTTATGCAATTAAGCAAACATTTGGTCAGCGTGACGTTAACAAGTTAATGTATCATGTCGCTCCAATGTAAATTCACCATATTCATGGTATTTTGTCTAAATATGATACAGAGAAGGTTTGACTGAATTCCCTAAAATGAAGGTCCATTACGTTAATTTCTCCGTTTCTTCATACATTTTTGCTTATAAATATACTCTTCTTCAGAGTCGACCGGTATACTCTTCATTTTCAGCGTCTCCTTCAAGAGCAATCCATATATACTCTTTGGTAAAACCTTCAAAGCTCTCTTCTATATATGCTCTCCTTTCATGGTCATGGCTTCTTCTTCTTCTTCTGTTGTCTGAAACAGCCATTTAATTTTCTGTGTTATATTCCAATATATATATATATATATATATATATTAAAGCTGCAGGGAATCTGTGAAGCTTGGGGACAACAACATGAGTTTCATACTTCTGGTCTTTTGCATATTCCTTTTCCCAGGTTTGTTGTCCGTATCTGATTCTCTCTCCATCCGAAACTCCCATATCATTCATACTTCTTCTGTGTTTATAATCGTATTAATTCCAGTTAATTAATTTTAATAAACTACTTATTATTATTTTTTTAGTGAAATAAATCATTTAGTTTTAAGAACGCAAAATTTTTCCGACATCTATTATTGAGTGGCCTCACGTGTTTTATTTCCGGCCTCTCGATTTGGATAATATACATGTATTTTGTCTCTGTTTACATTGAAATTTGAAGTTCACTTTCATGTGAAAGAAAGTAGGATATCAAAGGTTCAGTTTTGCTCTACATAGGATAACTATCTTTATATCGACTTTTATTCGACTACTTCACGTGTTCATTTGACTCAGTAAGGTTGAACTTATAACCTCATACATATACTAGTATTCCTTTTAAAAATACTTCAATATCAGATTAAAAAAAGGACTACAGGACTTTCGAACGCAGTGTATCTCTGCAGGGAATTATTTCCATGACATTATCGAGCAGAGAAATTCATTGATATCGTTCTCTTTGAGGGGCATTTAATGAAAATTAATGAAAATGTTGGTATTGCTTAATTGTTGTTTTCATTTTCAATATTTGTCCCTCTCACCACCATACAATTGTTTCTTCTCAATTAAATACCATTAAATGTGTTATAGTCATGTCGGAAGAGACGCACGGTCTTTTGCTTTTTAATTATTTTTTGGTCCTCAACCAATTCTTTATTTATCTTTTATATATTTGCATAAAATTCTCTGTCTATTTATTATTTTTTTAATGAAAATTGTATGACCTGGTTGTAGTTTTATAATACATAAAACTCCAAATTAATACCTTTAACACGATCAAAGATCTCTTCCGCTTATTAACTCTATTATTATATTGTTGATTATCAAAGATTTCTTCCACTTTTTTTTTTTGTTTTGATTTTTTGATTACAACTTGCAGCTCACAAGTCTTCCACTCGATTCTACGAATTGTTGATCCAATTTTTTTTTTTTGGTTATTAGCCAGCGCGCATTAGTTTTTAGGGTACAGTGACTATGATTGATAGTTCAAATTAATTTAAAATACAATATAAGTCTTTTTAGATCACTTCATGAAAAGGTAGTTGTAAAATTAAACATGTGAAGAATTTCTAAAGCTTTTCAAATATGTGCTTGACATAAAATTCAATACAACCGAAATTAATCACCTGTAAAGTTTAAATGGATAGAAGGGCAAAATTAAAAAAAAAATAAATATTCTAAACATTACTCCTATCAAATAGAACTTTATATTACCTCCTATCCTTAATATAAGATCTCGTTTCACTTTTATTTTGGTTCTAAATATAAGATCCAAATCTACTTTGTCTTTTATATTTATGTATTTTTTCTAAGGTAGTCCTTCAAATAATAGTAGTTCTAACCAATATACTTGATTAATAAGGATATTTTAAAAAACATAACATATATTTATTATAAATAACTAATTTAACTTTTTTTCTTAATCTACTCAAATTAGTCAACTAGCTCTTATATTTAGGACGGGAGATAGTATTTTGGACCAAGTCAATTTACGGGAAAAAAGACTTAGAATTATGGGTGAGAGCACTATTTAACTTGATGACTTTTTCAGCCATTAATATCCCGTTAATAGTGGTATACTCAGCCGAAAGCAATATTTTTATTTTTCTAAATCATGTATCATCTGTTGCTCTAGAGGGTGTGAAAAAGTATTTAAGGAAATAAAAACAGAGTTGTGAAAGAACATGGTCTTCCCTTTATTCGAAAATCAAAGAAAGATTTCTTGCGCGCATGCTGTTGAAAAAATGGCACAAGTGTCTCTCCAAGAGGAATATAAAATTATAGGGAAAATCTTACGAAATCCTTTAAACTCCATTTAAATTATATACAGACTTTCTTGAAGAGTTTGTGTATGTATAAACTACTTTTAATGATCTTAGAAAAATTTGGTTGAAAGTTGAAACCTATGCAGACAAAATTCTTTGGGTAATTAATCATTAGAACAATGGCAGATCATAAATAACAGTGCATAGAATGCTTATACAGGATATAAAGCCCAAGCTCTGTCCTACGATTACTCCTCCAGCATCCAAGTAAGCTCTCTCCTCAACGAAGCAACACTTGTATTTTCAAGTGAATATCGACTCTGAAAATTAAAATGGACTCTTTAATATTTTGAACGTTATTAGTGTCTAGAGAACCCCCAAAAGCCTTTGTACGATGGGGGAATCATCAAGAACCCAGAATTCAATAATGGACTTCAAGGCTGGACTCCATTTGGAGATGCTCAAATACAACACACAGTGTCCAGAGGCAACAAATATATCGTGGCTCATAGCAGAAATCACCCATATGATAGTGTTTCCCAGAAGATTTATCTGCAAAAGAACAAACTCTATTCATTATCTGGTATATTTTCTCTTTTCTTCTTCCCTTTCATTACTAATTTTCACATCAAAGAAAGATTTAGGTACCTATCTGTGTTTGTTCTTCTCACTTGATTATGATTGTATGCTATGCAGCTTGGATACAAGTGAGTGGGGAAAATGCAGCAGTTTCAGCAGTTATGAAAACAAGAGAAGGATTCAAACATTGCGGTGCTGTCATTGCAGAGCCTAATTGTTGGTCCATGATTAAGGGTGGCCTCCTAGCTGTTGCTTCAGGACCTGCTGACCTCTATTTTGAGGTATTTTCATATTAGGATATCAAATATCCTGTATATTACATGAAGCATAAATAACCAATGATATATTGTATCTTTATAGCTTGTGAATAGTAGAGTTTCATATGAATTCTATATTTTATGTTGATATTGATGATATGGGAGGAAAAGTATATTCTAATTGCTGAAAGTAGCAATTGACGCTAACAAATTCCATCTGTGCAGAGCAATAATACTTCTGTGGAGATATGGGTAGACAGCATTTCCTTACAGCCATTTACACAGAGACAATGGAGACTTCATCAGGAAAAAAGCATTGAGAAGGTAACTCTTTTGTTACAGTTTCATTCTCCTCGGCATTTTTGTGCCATATGTAGAAGGCATTATAAATCCCATTGACATTAGGAACTCAAGAGAAAAAAAAGGAGATTGTAGTTAGTTTTCCCCCCTGAATGTTTATGATTGTGACATGTAATATATAGAAGAAAAATTTGACTAAAACCAGGTTCATTTCTGTCTTTACAGACACGCAAGAAAAAGGTACTAATACAAGCAGTTGATGAAAGAGGTCACCCTTTATCAAATGCAAGCATATTCTTTGAGCAAAAAAAACCAAGCTTTCCATTTGGGAGTGCCATAAACCAGAACATCCTCAACAACAATGCCTATCAAAACTGGTTCACCTCAAGATTCACGGTCACAGTATTTGAGAATGAAATGAAGTGGTACAGCACTGAAGGAAGTCAAGGCAAAGAGGACTACTCTGTTGCTGATGCAATGCTGCAATTTGCCAAGCAAAACAACATCCCCGTTCGCGGTCACAACATATTTTGGGATGATCCTAGTCAGCAGCCAAGCTGGGTTCCCTCACTCTCACCAGATCAGCTTACTTCAGCAGTTCAGAAAAGGCTCAATTCCGTAGTGTCAAGATACAAGGGTCAGCTTGTTGCTTGGGATGTGGTTAATGAGAATCTGCACTTCTCATTCTTTGAAAGCAAACTTGGACAAGATTTTTCACCCAAGATTTATAATGATGCTCACAACATTGATGCACAAACCACTTTGTTCTTGAATGATTTCAACACCATTGAAGATAGTAGAGATGGTTCATCAACCCCGGCAAGGTACCTTGAGAAGCTCAGACAAATCAAAAGCTATCCAGGTAATGATGGATTGACCATTGGGATTGCTCTGGAGTCCCATTTCTCTGGCCCTCCTGATCTTCCTTACATAAGGTCTTCTATTGATACCCTTGCTGCCTCTGGTTCACCAATTTGGATCACAGAATTGGACGTCAAAAGCCAACCTAACCAGGTAGATCTTAAGAAAATCATACAGTTACAGTTAAGTTTGGTATAAAACAGGAATGAGCATGGTGATAAGCATGGAAGAGGGGGGATTTCCTAAAAACAACTATCACCAATTTTTAACACACCAAACGTAAAAGTCTAACTTTCCCTCTCGTTTTCTCATTTTAGAAAGGACTTTTTGGCATATCAAACATATCATTAGTGGTGAAGAACGCCGACATAGGCTAGCATTTTTCATTTTTCTTGATGATTGTTTTGTGCAGGCACAGTACTTAGAGCAGATTCTGAGAGAGGTTCATTCTCACCCAAAGGTTCAGGGCATTATTATGTGGACACCATGGAGTCCTAGTGGGTGTTACCGCATGTGCTTGACTGATAACAATTTCAAGAACTTGCCTACTGGGGATGTTGTGGACAAGTTGCTTCATGAGTGGGGATTTAATACAAAATTGAAAGGAACAACAGACCCAAATGGGTTCTTTAAGGCAAATCTTTTCCATGGTGATTACCAAGTGAAGGTCAGACACCCTATTTTGAGAAACTTCACTTTAACTAAGCATATGCAAATTATGCCAGCAGATGAACCTAAGCACGTGACTCAAGTTTTACAACTTTCCGTTTAATTATTAGGCTCTTTTACATATTGTGGAATATATGACCCTATATATAAAAGTGGTCTTTATTATGACTATATTTTTGGGTTTGCTAGAGGAATGGAAATGGGTCTTATTTGTTTTGTGTTGCAAAGATATGAAAAGGATGCAGAAAGTAAAAGCTACTAAAGCAAATAAGACTTATTGCGCATGAGCACAAACCAAAAATCACAAGAACGATATATCAATGCATACATGGACTTTTAACATGGAAAAGCCTCTGATGCAGGGGGAAAAACCAGGAATCTTAATCTAATCAACAAAAAAATTTCAACAGTAAAAATAGTATTGATAGTAATAGGTCCTTCAACTATCTCTCTAATCAAACTAAATATCAGATTAACTCATAATCAATTAATATATCAAACTAAATAGTCTTGTTGTCCTTTAATTTTGTACCCACTTTTTATCTGAAATTTATACTATACTTTAGCTTGGCCCTTTAACTTGTTTAATCTCTTGTACTTTGAAATTAATACTTTAATTTAATTTTTTTAGTACATATTTTTCTCTTCTTTAATACTTTTTTAATATAGGGTTAAGGCGCATCCAACAATTCGAAGTATTTTGTTAGGTATGTTGAACACCCTAAAAAATTTTGTGGTATGCCTAGTACCTTGAAGTATTTTTTTCAGATACATACACTACCCTAAAATATTTTGTGATGTAATTTTGTTCTTAAATATTAATTTTTTAAGAAGCAATTATGCTTTGAAAATATTATTTCATGAACAGTTTTAATTTCATCATTAATTCTTTAAAAGATTTGTTAAATGAATGTATATCAAGCACTATAAAGTATTTTTCAGTATTTTTTAGGGTACTAGATACACCTTAAAAAAAATGCTTTAAGGTGCTAGAGGCATCACACAATATGTTGGGATGTTGGATGTACTTGAAAAAATATTTCAGGATACTGGGTGTACCACAAAATACTTTACACAGCACCTGACAAAATAATTTTGTGAGGTGTGTTGGATGCAACTTAACTTTTAATTAATATATTCAACAAAAATATTGTACAAAATTAAATTAAATTAATTATAAATAAGTTTAACAAAATTACCATGCCAATGCAAAAATAAAATAAATTCTTTCTCTCTAATGTTTCAACTCCCAAATTTCCCATTCACTGTACCTGAGTGAGAGAGAATAATACGCATTTTGGAAGCATCCATATCAAAATCATTGAATGTGTGAGTCACCAATCTCTGACTGACTGTATATAATGTACTTTAATATATTTTAAACAATTTTAATATGAAATTTTCATAATATTAATAATTACAATTAAAACTTAACATACAGTCAAGAGAAATAAAAGTAGATCGGGATAGTATTGAATATCGAAAAAAAAATTATGTTTGAAGAATTACGTTCAGTATTTAAATCTAGCAATGCACGTACAGATATAATTTCAAAGTATCTGAATATCATATATAATTATATGAAAATAATATTATTTTGCCTATGTAATTATGTATAATAAATGACCCAAGAAACAGAAGAATAGCCATATGCAATTTGTTTGATAAGAGTAGACACTAATTCTTAAATGTATGCTATAAATGTTTACCAATATTTTAAAAGTTGTGTTTCATACTTTGATTCAATTATAAATCACAACATAAATGGGAATTATATCCTACTATTTATTGTGGCATTAAAAAGTACTCCCGAGTCCTGCATATTGAATTGGATGTGGTTTAATATTAAATACATAAAATTTTGATCGCCTTTGTCTCTCTTATTTAATACTCCCATTTAAAATAGGGATATTCTAAAAAAGAGACATATAATTTTTATATAATAATGATAAATAACTAATTTAATCAATATTTAATTTTTATAAATAAATAAATAAATTCTTATATTTAAGATCAATCAGAATAAACAATAACTATAAATATACAGTCACCAATTAAATTCTTTAAATTTATATGTAGTTACTACCAATCAATTAATTGGATATTCATTCATGAACATCAATTACTTAAACTTTAAAGCATAGTATAAAAGATGCTACACTATTCAGCCTCCCATTATATTCCCTTCAGAAACAAGAGACCACATCTGTTGAAGCTTGAAGGCTACAAGTATGAGCATTCTTGTGCTGTTTATCATCCTGCAGTTCTCAGGTTTGGTGTCCATAAATGTTCGGCTTTTAATTTTATAGCTAATAATAAATGTGACGATTATCAAAATTTAGTCTTTATAGAAAACCGTATATGATTCATTGTTAAAAATAATTGACTCTTCACGTTTGGGAAAATTGATAAGCAGATTGTCTTTTCTTTTCTCTTATCTTCCTTTCGTTTAATAGGTTCTCTTTTATTCCTTCTCAATTTTTAAACTGATAAAACTGTTGCTTTTCATCCTTTCTCATTATTTTTCAATTTTTTTAAAAGAATTATCTTGAATGTAATCCAGCTGAAATAAAACGTGATTTATATAATAAACTAGGAAAAATGTGTCAACAACTGAAAAATCTAGTGACAATTCAGTTCACTAAAATCTCATTGACATTTTGTAAAATTGCCTGATATGTACCTTGATATATATGTAAATGAATTTATACTCATCCAGTATTTGAAGTTCTTCTCAAGTCTTCGTTATCAATATACATAATGTCTCCACAGGATTTGAAGCTTTGCCGTATGACTACACAGCCAGCATCGAGGTGAGTTCTTCTTCCAACAGTATTTTAATTATCAAAACAATATCAATAGAGTATTAATAAATAGGAGAGGAAGTGAGAGGTTATGATCCGCCTCTTACTATGAGTCTTAAGAATTAAATCTTCTAAATTATGTATAGTCCACTTGAATTGAAGAAAAATAAAGACATAAAGGAGTAGAATTCACTTTTGCCCGGTGAGTCCCACTGAAGTAGGCTCCACATAGGATTTGCTCTAAGTCTACGTTTACATGTTCTTATGTTTTCATGCTTTAGTGTCTAGAAAATCCTCAAAAGCCTTTGTACAATGGGGGAATCATAAAAAACCCAGAATTGAATGATGGGCTGGAAGGCTGGACTGCAATTGGAGATGCTAAAATACAACACAGAGAATCAAGAGGCAACAAATTTATTGTGGCCTGTAACAGAAATCAACCAAACGATAGTGTCTCCCAGAAGATTTACATGAGAAAGAATAATCTTTATACATTATCTGGTAAACTTTCTCCCCTGCACACTCAAGGGAATATACCCATCTGGATATGTTATTCTCTTCTTCTTGCTCGGTAATGGATTGGATATTATGCAGCTTGGATACAAGTGAGTCAGGGAAATGCTGCAGTATCGGCAGTTGTGAAAACAAGGGAAGGACTCAAATACGGTGGAGCCATTGTTGCAGAGTCTAATTGCTGGTCCATGCTTAAGGGTGGTCTCACAGTTGATACTTCAGGGCCTGCAGAGGTTTACTTTGAGGTACTTTTTAACATATTATTCCGTAATTATGGGAAAAAGGACTATTGATGTGCTAAATCAATGATTTCCAATTTTCCTTGAGACTCAAGAAAAATGCTAAACTTTGCAGAGCAATGACACTTCTGTGGAGATATGGGTTGATAGCATTTCCTTGCAGCCTTTCACACAGAAACAATGGAGACTTCATCAAGAGCAATGCGTCGAGAAGGTAATCCTTTTTTGTTTTAGTTTCATTTTTTTTATCTGTATTTTGGACTAAAGGGGCAAATCACTATAAACGCCATTAACTCAGAACATAGCAAGAGATTATAATTCTTGTTTTGAATACTTATGATGATGATGTGTGCGTGCGTAAATGCATATATTAGGGAGATTAAACTAAAACCAGGTTCAAATTTTGGTTTGGTAGAAACACAAGAAAAGGGTATTAATCCAAGCAATTGATGGAAGAGGCAATCCGTGGCAAAATGCAAGCATAACCTTTGAGCAGAAGAGGTCAAATTTTCCATTTGGCTGTGCCATGAACAAGCACATCCTTGATAATACTGCATACCAGAACTGGTTCACTTCAAGGTTCACGGTTACTACGTTTGTAAACGAAATGAAGTGGTACAGTACTGAGAGTGTACAAGGCAAAGAGGACTACTCCATAGCTGATGCAATGTTGAACTTTGCCAATCAGCACAAAATTGCTGTTCGTGGTCACAACGTATTCTGGGATGACCCTAAATACCAACCAAGTTGGGTTCCTTCACTCCCACCAGACCAGCTTAACTCAGCAGTTCAGAAAAGGCTTAACTCGGTTGTGTCGCGATACAAGGGTCAACTCGTTGATTGGGATGTTGTTAATGAAAATCTGCACTTTTCATTTCTAGAAAGCAAACTTGGGAAAGATGCTTCTGCGAAGATTTACCATGATGCTCACAATATTGATGGAAAGACCACGTTGTTTCTGAATGAATTCAACGCCATTGAGGATAGTAGAGATGGTGTATCCATCCCAGCAAAGTACTTAGAGAAGCTCAGAGAGATTAAAGGATACGCTGGTTACACAGGATGGCCAATTGGAATTGGGCTAGAGGCCCATTTCAGTGTTCCTCCTAATCTGCCTTACATGAGGTCATCTATTGATACTCTTGCTGCTAGTGGCTCTTCACTTTGGCTTACAGAAGTGGATGTCAAAAACATGCCAAATCAGGTAAGTCTCAATAAGATCTAACCCAGGTCTTTTTCAGAGCGACCCTTTATATATATTCGCTTTGAACAAAATTTAAGACAAGTCTGTATAATTTGGTTTGTGTAAGCAGAGTACCTGGAACAAGTTCTGAGAGAGGCACACTCGCACCCACATATTCAGGGCATTGTTCTGTGGACACCATGGAAAGAGTGTGAAGCTATGTGTTTGATTGATGAAAATTTCAAGAACTTGCCCTGTGGAGATGTTGTGGACAAGCTTCTTCAAGAGTGGGGATTCACACAATCACTGGAAGCCACAACTGACTCCAATGGATTTCTTGAGGCCACACTTTTTCATGGTGATTACCAAGTCAAGATCACTCACCCTCTCAGCAACAGCCTCACTTCACTTCACAACTTGCAGGTCATGCCAATGGATGAACCAAA